TCCACTGCGCCACCTAGTTGCCCCTCATAACTAACTTTTCTAAAATTCTATTTACCTCCTTAACTTCTTGTTCATTTTGTGGTTAGATTTATCTAGTTCAGAGAGGGGGAGGTTGAGGTCCCCAACTAGGATAGTTTTGCTGTCTATTTCTTCCTGTAACTCCCTGAACTTCTCTAAGAATTGGGATGATATACCAGTTGGCCCATATATGTTTAGTAATGATATTACTTCATAGTTTATGGTGCCTTTTAGCAGGATGTAGTTTCCTTCCTTATCCCTTTTGTTAAGATCTATTTTTGCATTTGCTTTGTCTGAGATCAGCATTGCTATCCGAGCTTCTTTTTTTTTTTTTTTTACTTCAGCTGAAGCATAATATATTCTACTTCAGCCTTTTACTGTTTCAAACGTGTTTCTTTTAAACAACATATTGTAGGATTCCGGTTCCTAATCCATTCTGCTATGTTTCCGTTTTATGGGAGAGTTCATCCCATACACATTGACAGTTATGAATAATATCTGTGTCTTTCTAAGGTTCCTCCTCAGAACATGACGATCTGAGGACTCAATAGACTCCAGGAATCTAAACAAAGTAATTCACCTGTACCCCAAGCTCTGGGATAGTCAGAGTTACCTCCATATTGGGAGGCTAGAGTGATGCAGAATAAAGACCGGGAGCTCCAGAACCATTATAAGCAGTTTAATAATCAATCACATGAATACTGACAATAGCATCGGCCAGACCAAGCCCAACCGAAATTATAAAGGTTAGACAAAGGTAGAAGACGCTACACAGCACCTCCGTAATTCCATCAGTGTCTGAGTTTCGAACTTATTTCTGGGTTCAAGACCAGAACCACGGCTACAGATGAAAGCTCTTTGGTAAATACCCAGACAAAAAACGGTACGTGCCGGTTACTACTCTTAAATTCGACAAACAAGAACTCCGGATGTCAACCCCCCTACTAAAAATTAATAAAGAACTTCCAAAACCCGTAACAGTAAAAAAACGAAAGCTTACTGAGCTCCTCCACTCCACAACACTAAAACTAAGAACAACCCGAAATGCCACACACATATAACACCACCACACTAATGCCAACACCACTTACGACCTCAACACCAGCTTGTTTTTCACGCAGTGACTTCTCCCGAAACACAAAAAACACTCAGCTTTCGTAATTATCCCAAAACCGTACAAGCACACAAAGCACACAACATAAACCTCAGGAATCATCTATTCTACTACTCCTCTGTGGAAAACTCATTTGATGTTAATATCTTAACAACACGCACCACTTCCACTTTTATCTACAAAGCCAGCCAGAAATCTCTTCTGGCACTCCCCTACCCCTTCGCAACATCACCCTTTTACAAACGCGGCGACTAACAAACACTTCACCAAGCCTCGCCCTCCTCCCACACCTCCCACACCCCAACATACAGCTCAGCCGCCAGACTTCCGCCTCCACGCAACCACAAGGCCGCCTCAGAACACACCAGAAAACGGACTTTTCACAAATTTTAGCACTTTCTTCGCCCAACAAGGCACTCTCCCAGCATCCGCAGAGAGGGACTACTTGGCGACTCATTTGCATATCCCTCCTCTCTTCCGCACCGAGGGAGCAATGGCTTCCCTGCAGGGGACGGGAAGGAGCATGGTAGGCACACAGAGCCGCGGGACCGGGCCCGGAAACTTCCTCAACAAACCTTTGAGCTTCTGTCCCCTCCCCCCTTCCTCTCAAAAAGCTGTGGAGACACCCACCTCGCAGGAAGAGGAACCGGGGTGCCCTGACCGCCTTCGTGGGGAACCGGCACTTCACAGGCGCCGTCGATTACTGGCTCCCTGACTGCCCCGCTCCTTCGCCTACAGACAGACAGCAAAAGATATCTACACCCAATGGGTTCGGGAAAGACTGAAAAAATCCTAGGCAAGTCTTAACCCAAAAGCAATAATCAAGCCACATGGAGAACATGCTAGCTGCACACTCATCATCAGGTCTCATATCACTGCTACCCAGGTAGCAAATTACCAATTTTGAAAATTCAGTCACAGCTAAGCAATTTCAAAGTCAGTCAAGAAATGTTGATTAAGCTGCCTACCTCATGCCAGGCGCAGTGCTGTGCTGAGGATAAACCAGAGGCAAAAGACCCATATTAATCTGTTCTAAAGGAGCTCACAGTCTAATCAAGGAAGATAAAGTGTAAACAACTCTAGAAGAAGCCCGAGCCATGTAAATTGGAGAAAATCATCAGAGGGAAAGCACTAGCTGAGATCTGAAAGAAGCCAGAGGTTGAAGACAATGAGGAAAATAATTTCAGGCAGGCTTCATGGACTGCCAGGAAAAAGGCTTGTCAATTCTCTTGTGCTACACAGAGTTTGTGGAGATGAATAAGGTGTAGGCAAACTGGAAAGGTAGGAAAAGGCCAGGTTATGGAGGGTTTTAAAAGCCAAACAAGATTTTATATTTGATCCTGGAGATAATGGGGAGCCACTGAAGCTTACTGAGGGTGATGGGGTGCTTGGGTGCCTGTGCTTGGACCCCAGTTTCTCCCTAGCCTCAGAAACACTATGGCTGGCAGTTTCACCCCAGCCCAAGGACACTGTGCCTAGCAATTACTCATGAGTGGGCCCCAGCAAGACACTTACTTCTCTCCCTGGTGCGGTTACACAAAACTGGGTGAGAGTGATGGGCTTCTTAGGTCCCAGCCCTAAGATCATGTCTCTGGAAGCCTCTCAATTTCTTAGTAGGCTCCTGCCCTATGAGAAAATTTTCTCTTGTTGCAGAGCATTCTCTAATTAGGACAGAGAGAGGGGTGCCTGGCCCAAGGATTTTTGTCCCTGGGACTCTTCCTTCCACCAGATCCCCAAGGTTCATGCCTCTGACATCTCCCTTCCTGTCTGGTATACTCCCTACACTTTCCCATCCATAGTTCCTAAAGACACCTGGACCTTTAGATTACCTAAGTAATACCCCTGGCATTCCTTTCCGTATAACCCCAGCTCCATCTGTTATAAAGAAGACCCCAGGCTCAGTTCCTGAACTGTCTCAAAGCCTTTTTATTAAAGATGTTGAAGTGTGTCCTTTCCATTCTGGAGAGAAGCGGGCACACCTGCTTTGAAGGGGAGAGTGCTCAGAGTACAGAAGCAAGAGAAAGCTTTATAGTTAGTAATTGCCTAACTCCTCCCTTCTGGATCAGGATTGGTCCTAATCCTTTTGGTTACAATCTTATATGTCCTGTTCATATATTTTATATACATATGATCTCCACTCCTTAACATACATTTTGTGCCTAGAATTGTGTTGTCACTCCCCCCTTCCAAACAGAGAAGTTAGCCTGTCTGTGCTGATTTCTTGTCTACTTATGTGGAAACTTAACTGTTATTTCTCACACATCCTCAGACTCTTGAAGGTTCCTTAAGAATCCTTGCCCGATGTATAGGGTAACAATAAATCTTTGCCAGCTTGACTCAAACAATGCTTGAGCCTGTGAATTCATTCCAGATGACCCCATCCTGAACTCCAGTCTTTGAAGGGTCTCAATCTCTCCGACAGCAAGGAGGTGGGGAGAATGACATGAATGTCAGAGTTGCACTTTAGGAAGATCCCTTAGATAGCTGAGTGGAGTATGGACTGGAATGGAAAGAGACTTGAGGCAGGAAGAGATAGAGCAGAGGAGGAAAGTAAGATCAATCAACATTAAGCACTATTATGGGAATTTTTTTATTTCCCTTTATTATTTGGGACTCAGAACCATTCCTTTTGGTTAACTAAAAGTCTCTTTTAATATTAACCTCACCTGAACAAAAGGTGTCCCATGGGATATAAAAATTTACTTAGTCTTAAACATTTCTTAGATAAGAAAGCAAAGCAAGGCTCTCAATGGTCCCTGACTCCTTAGTGTCCTTCTTAGTCAGTCGATTTGTGAAACCTCTAAATGTAGTTTAATCTTCAACCTGACATAGTTTACCTGTAGAGTTTGTTTGACAGAGTCTTTTTTCTTTGAGGAATGTATGAGATTGTAAGTATTTAAGTTTGTTCAACTTTTATTACATTGAAGAAATTATGGAATTATGGGTAGGGACAGTCCACAGTACCTAAGACCACAGAGTGTCAGGCCTGGAGTCTAGAGGGCCTGAATTCATACGTGACCTCAGATACTTACTAGCTGTGTGACCCTGCGCAAGTCACTTCACCTTGTTTGCCTCAGTTTCCTCACCTGTAAAATGAACTGGTGAAGGAAATGACAAACCACTCCTGTATCTTTGCCAAGTAAATCCCAAAAGGGATCATGAGAAGTCAACTGACTAATTGACTAAACAACAAAAATGAGATTATGGATCTATCCTTTCTTTAACTTCTATGGCCTAAGATGGCAATATATAAAAGAATTATTTCTCAGTCACTCTTAGCAATTTTGCCTATAAGATGCCTTGTCAGAATTCTCGAGATTGTTCAAGTTTTCTCTGAGGCCTAAACCTGTTGCTTGAGCATATAAGCATGTGTGATATGAGGCCTGATGATGAGTGTACAGCTAGCATGTTCTCCATGTGGCTTGATTATTGCTTTTGGGTTAAGACTTGCCTAGGATTTTTTCAGTCTTTCCCGAACCCATTGGGTGTAGATATCTTTTGCTGTCTGTCTGTAGGCGAAGGAGCGGGGCAGTCAGGGAGCCAGTAACCCACGGCGCCTGTGAAGTGCCAGTTCCCCACGAAGGCGGTCAGGGCACCCCGGTTCCTCTTCCTGCGAGGTGGGTGTCTCCACAGCTTTTTGAGAGGAAGGGGGGAGGGGACAGAAGCTCAAAGGTTTGTTGAGGAAGTTTCCGGGCCCGGTCCCGCGGCTCTGTGTGCCTACCATGCTCCTTCCCGTCCCCTGCAGGGAAGCCATTGCTCCCTCGGTGCGGAAGAGAGGAGGGATATGCAAATGAGTCGCCAAGTAGTCCCTCTCTGCGGATGCTGGGAGAGTGCCTTGTTGGGCGAAGAAAGTGCTAAAATTTGTGAAAAGTCCGTTTTCTGGTGTGTTCTGAGGCGGCCTTGTGGTTGCGTGGAGGCGGAAGTCTGGCGGCTGAGCTGTATGTTGGGGTGTGGGAGGTGTGGGAGGAGGGCGAGGCTTGGTGAAGTGTTTGTTAGTCGCCGCGTTTGTAAAAGGGTGATGTTGCGAAGGGGTAGGGGACTGGAACACCTGGGCTTCTTTAATTTTTTCTCGGTTCCTTGGTTAAGATGAAGTGTAGTGTGTGTTCTAATTAATGTCTCATACGTTATTCATTAGAGAAAAGCATATTAAATGGGTGTTTGAAGCGCTGGGCTGAGGGGAGGGTTTGCTGCTGAGAGCGGCGGGGGTTTCTTCTCGAGCCTGGAGAGCAGTGGGTTTAAAAACTGGGTAGTGTTTGAGCTTTTCGTTGTTTTGTAATTTGAGTGGTTGCTTACAATTTGTGTTCGAAATTAAGTTTTTCTATAATTTAAAGTCGGGGAGTTACAGAGCTCAGTAAGTTTTCGTTGTTTTACTGTTATGTGGACAGCAAGTACCTTCCTTACTTTTTTGGGAGGAGTTTTAGTTGTGGAGTTCGTGTTTGTCGAATCCAAGAGCGGTAACCAGCGCGTGCCCTCTTTTTCCGGGTATTTACCCAAGAGCTTTCACGTGTTGCCGTGGTTCAGGTCTTGGACCCAGAACTAAGTGCGAAACCCAGACACTGAAAGAACTGCGGAGGTGCTGTATGGTGTCTTGTCCCTTTGTCTAACCTCTGTAATTGCGGTTGGGCCTGGTCTGGTCGATGCTATTGTCAGTATCCATATGATTTATTATTAAACTGCTTATAATGGTTCTAGAGCTCCTGGTCTTTATTCTGTATCACTCTAGCCTCCCAATATGGAGGTAACTCTGACTATCCCAGTTTGGGGAATTTGACAACACACCAGAGCCTTCCTGTTCTGCAGCTCATTTGACAGATGAGGAAACTGAAGCAAACAGCGACAAGTGACTTAGCCAGGGTCTGGTCTCAAGTCAGGTTTTCGTGACTGTAGCCTAAGTATTCTATCCACTGAGTCGCCCAGGTGGCTTATACAAGTAAGTAACCAGCATTCCGAAGTACCTAGAGATGGGAAAAAAAAAAAGTTCTGAGGAATCATTCTCAAAATGGGTGGAATGAGATTAAAGGAAATTTCTGCAGCCCAAAACATATCATTAGTTTCATTCTTTTTTCCCAAGGTGATAGTATTTGTTTAAATTACATGTCTTTTTTTTTTAAGAAGATAACATTTCATATTTCCCCCAATTACATGTAGAAACAATTTTTAACATTCTTTTTTTTAAATTTTGGATACCAAATTCTCTTCCTCCTTTCCTACCTCCCCATCGAAAAGGCAAGCAATTTGATATGTTATATATGTGCAGTTATGCAAAACATTTCCACATCAGTCATGTTGAGAAAGAAAACAGACCAAAAGAAAAGAAAAATGGAGAAAGTAAAGAAAAAATATGCTTTGATCTGCATTCAGACTCCATCAGTTCTTTCTCTGGCAATTGATAGCGTTTTTCATCATGAGTCCTTCGTAAATTCTATGCTTTTAAAGAGTGTATTTAAAGTACTCCAAAGTAATTTAAGCTATCTTTCAGATGTTATGTGAAAAAGGTGAGAAAAATTATTTTTTCTCCTTTCTCTGTGAAGGTTACAGTTTCCATACTGTCATTATCAAACTGTATCAATTTAAAATTACCTCCAAATCATTCTGACAAATTCCTTCATGAAGGATTTGGTTGTTCTTCACCCTTAGAACCAATTACACAAAGGTGGGGAGGGGAGGTGGCAGGAGGAAGAGGAGATTTTCCTTTTTTGCTAGGTCAGATCTACTTGGTCAAAACCTTAATAGTTAAAAGGAAAGAAGGTATGTGGTAAGCAGACTGAGTCAAAGAATTAGAGTATTATGTCGGGTGCCAAATGGGCAAAATAAAAAAGTATAGGAAACATGATGCCTTTCTTCAAAGAGCTTCCCAAGCCATAGTAGTGATACCACACCCAATCCATAAGGAGAGAACAAAAGAGAGCAAAAGTGCAAAGAATTCTAAACAAAATGCTCTTAGAAAACTAATTAGGTATCAGCTAGGAACATGTGTGACCAGAGGCCAGACTTCCTGACCTATGCAAACTGTCTTCCAGACCCTTCACAGGTAGTTGAGCTCACCTCATAGCATTTCACTTTAAGGCCAGGAACTTTTTGTTTTTCCTAACTGTGGTCAAACAAGTGTGTAATTCCCACGTAATTTTTTACCTAGGTTAAATCTGTCACTGCTATGACAAAGAAAAATGCCTCCATCTGTTTGGGAGTGCCCATGGGAAATTCAGCCAGTGATGCCACAGCAAAAAGGACAGAAGAATCAGACTTGATAGAACAGTTAAGGTGACACCCTGACCAAAATTTAGTGGCATATTCAATTTTACCAAACATGTTATTCTTCTTCAAGGATATGCTATCTCCTGATAGAGCTATTATTCAGGCAAGAAAGGGTTAACTCCCCCCCTAGAGATTTAATTCTTAACTGTACCTACACTGCAAGATAAGAGAGGTTAATTTATTGTCATTGACTATGGTCTCTGACATCAGCCATCATAGTTCACCATAGGGTGAGATTCTATAAGTATCTGGATTTGAGTCATTTCTCCCATTAATTTCTTTGGGAGATTATCAAGAACAACAGGAGATGTGATCCACAGTTAGGGCAGCTTACCAACTACCTTAATGGCTCAATGAAGGATGCTTTTGGCTGCTGAAACAACAATGCTGCCTCATATTTGAACATGCCTTCCAGGGACTACCTGCTATTTAACATCAAAAGTTAAAATCAATTGAAAATTAGACAAGGAGAGAACATGAATTTAGATTAACATATCCTTTGGCAGTTAAGGGATTGGAACATTCATTGAAATCTGTTGTCATTTTCAGTCATGTTTGACTCTCCATACCAAATACCATACCAAACCATATTTGTTTTTTGTTTGTTTGTTTGCAGAGATACTGTATTGGTAGCACTTCTCTACCTCATTTTACAGATGAGGAAACTAAGGCAAACAGCGTTAAGTAACTTGCCCAGGGGCTCACAGCTACTAAATGTCTGAGGCTGGATTTAAACTCGTGAAGATGAATCTTTCTGGTTCTAAGCCCAGTGCTCTATCTATGGTGTAACCTAGTTGTCCTTCCTTGCAATTAGTGAACCATTAATACTACAAGAAAAAAGTGATTAATAAACCAAGGAAAAGTACACATACAAGTAACTCATGCTGCTTTGACTGAACTTTTTGAAATGTGGAAGAACACTTTTTGCTGAATGGGAATTTTGCATGCTGTGTAGGACTAAAATGTGTTTTTTCTAGATGGTACATGATACATTGCTGAGAGTGATAAATGTTTCTGTAGGTGTAGGACATGAGAAGTTTCCTTCTATACTGTGGCACTATCTATACGGGCCACACGCTGGCCTTCTGCCAGTTGTGCGCCAGTACCTACTTCCCTTAAAAGAAGTACACCACCAGAGTCTTACCCACGCCTGGGTCCTCAGTCCTCAGCCAGATCACCACACAGAGACGAGCCATCAGGAGGCACCAACACCAGAGCTTTATTCAGAGGCCAACACAGCAAACCATCATAGCAAGCCCAAGCAGCAAGGCCAGAGCAACAGGCAGGAGCCAGGGGAGCGCGCACGTGTGTGATCTGACCACGCTTGTTCCTAAGTACCTACTTAGCCCCTCCTCCCCAGCCCGCCTACTAGTCAATGATTGTAGGGTCAGATACCAGAAGGGGCTGTCTGAATTTAGCACACCAAGGGGGAGGGAGTGACGTAGGAGGCCAGGATTGGATACAGGAAGGAGGCATCTGGGATTGACGCATAGACAAGAGTACGTGACCTAGGAAGTCAGACTCAGGAGGGGACTGGGTCAGTGCTGCACAAGGTCAGGAAGGTCACAAGAGGCATCTGGGGATGACGTTGCATATAGGGAGGGGACTAAGCAGAGGGAGCTCAGTCCTCTGCCATCCCACTCCCACGTGGCACCGCCCCTTGCCTCAGGAGCTCAGGCTCGGCTACTTCCTTGAACCCAGCTTATCTCATAGCACTGCCCAATTGCCTCATGGCTTCTCCGTATCCAGCCCATCCCAGTACACACGACTCTGCCTACCACAGTCCCTGCCTCGACTTCCAAAATACCCAGATCTTACCTTACCCATGCCACAGCACCCAACTGGCAGCTGCCAACATCAGACAGTCCCTCACAACTATCATCACCACTTAAGTAATGCCATAACCAGTAAACACAAGTCCATACTGGACCAATTGGTGAAGAGCCTTTAGAGTTCCTAAAGTTCATATTAACCAGATGGTTTCAGGCCTAAATAGAAAAGTCACTTTCATAGGCCTCCTTTGGTATGATTTCAAACCATGACAGCTATAATAAATCATGTGACAGTTCCATTTAAAAATAGATGGCTTTTGGGCCTTAGAGAGTTCCATAATAATTAACAATAATAATAATATTCAAGTATCAAATAGTAGTCTGTCTAGCATTAGGGTCAAGAAATTTAGAGTTAAAAAGGCCTTTAGACTGAGAAGGGGATTTTGGCCTGACTTGGCAATTTCTAACCAACACACAACAAAAGCAGGCTACTTTTTATTCTACCTCATACAGGGATTTTCAACTAAGAGCCATAAACTCAGAGGACCAAATGACAGCTGTTCCTTTATCTATCCCTTCCTAACCTCACCTTCCTTTACTTTCTCTAAATGAGTAAGTGAACATAACTTTGTGTTGTCGTAAATTATTGGGGACTTATAACACCATCAACAGCATACCTGTGGACTAGCTTGGGTTCACTGAATAAATTTGCCCTTGGGTGGATTGGTGTCACATGAGGCAACATGGATGACCCAGAGAACCATAGATTTGATTGTACTGAGATTGTCCAAAGACTTTGTTTTACCCTATTAACATATATGTCAGAGTAAGGCAGGATTCTTTTTAAAAATTTATTTTATTTTTAATTTATGGAATAAAACAAGCATTTCCATAATAATACAATAAAAAAG